ATATATATATATATATGAAGTGTGTTTCATTAAAACGGATTATATATAAGGGTGTTTCATTAAGACGAATCAAAGTCAGTAGTAAATAAATCAGTGATATTGGTGAAAATTTATTTATCTCTCTATTGGATCATATTATTTAAGTCATGGCAATTATGTGTGAAAAATAATATCGCTAAATGTCCACCAAATCTGAAAGAAAAAGAAAAAAATCATTAGATGCTTAAACTTAATTCACATTTAAAATCGGTCCATAATTTTCTTCTTAACCAGTGATTCTCAAGCGCTGTGCCGTGATACACACGTGTGCCACGCGATCTTAATTGTGCCGCGAAATATTGTCACGATATGCATATATATGAGTATGCGGAAATAGTAATGGTACTGTGTTAGTATTTGAATAAATAATGGTAGAGTGTTAGCATTTGAATAAATTAATAAGTACTAAACTATTTTTCAAATAATTCTTTTCACTATTCTTTGATTATGTTATTTTAATATTGATTTTTTAATATCCATTTGTTTTAACATTCATTTTTTAAAATATTTTATTTTTTAAATTAACTTTTTAAAATTTTCCTTTATGTGAATAAATGAATATTAACCTTTTTTTCATTTTATTGTATTAGACATTATTTGTTTAATTCAAAATTTTACAAAATTATATTGAATTATGTATTAAGATTAAGTTTCCGATATGCAGCAGTGAGCATTTGGTATCTGTCTATATTTCTGAGATTAGGTATTATGTACTATTTACATTATTCGGGCTATTGTCCTGATCTTTGTTGCCATGTTTATCACAACGTTTCGGCTGTTGTACGCTCTGACCTTCTAGAACTAGAACAGTCTACCCCAGCGAGCGAAATAAAGGGTTCAGTTCGACATTCCAACCACTTGAAGAAGGCCGGAGCGTACAAAAACCGAAACGCTGTGATAAATATGGCAACAAAGATGAGGACAATAGTCCGAATAATGTAAATATTGAGCATTTGATTTCATAACTTTCCATTTTTTTTTAAAGTATATTACTCTGAAATTTGTATAAAATGAAAATGATATTAATTGTACTAAAATTGTTGTTATTTTTTTCATGGTAATATTTTATTAAAATAACGTATAAACAGAATATATATATATATATATATATATATATATATATATATATATATATATATATATATCAGTCAGTTATGGGCCATGCGTGATACACGCTTAGGCGATCATGTATCTTTCGATACATAACTGACGAGGCAGATTTTTTTTTCTGCAGTAGGTTGCCATTTCTTTCCGTGGTAGAGCAGTTGCTATCCAAAGCTATAGAACCCGGTCTGTTCTGCTATTTACCCATAGCTGGTGGGGAGGAGAAGAATAGGATTCATACCTTTCCGAAGTGTATTAGCACGTAAGTGAATGTAATGTAATCGACTGGAATTCGAACTCGGCTCCCCGTTCCCTCAGTCCGAGCCGCTCTATATAGACGGAAAGTACGACACCGAAATCCGAATTACCATTGGGACAGCGAAAAAGGTCTTGCAAAAGCTAAGCAGAGTATTAAGAAACAGAAAAGCTTTCGTTAGAAATTGTTATATAGGAATGAAGTGTCGCTGTCGACACTTGAGTTTGAACATAGATCGCCAGTGAGCAAACACTGGCAATCCCATTAGTGAATTAAGTGGATCACGTGACCATAGAGGAACCGCATGTATAGGAAGTCTAGATTGATCGCTATATTCTTTTCTTTCCTCGGGCACCTCGGCATGGCGTAATGGTTAGCAAGCTTGTTTTGTTAGCACATTTACGACTAAGTAGTGAGATCGATTCTCACTGGGTGCCTCATACCTACGGCCTTGTGCCACATCTAAGTTACGCTAAGAAAATCTATAGGGCACCTCGACCTGGTGTAATGGTTAGCAAGCTTGTCTCGCTAGAACAATTACGACTGAGTAGTGAGTTCGATCCTCACTGGGTGCCCTTTATTAATGCCTTGTGCCACATCTAAGCTACACTTGGAAAATCACTATTCTTTTCTATCCTCTATTACTATATGGATCGCTATTCTCTACTCTATTCAATATGCTAATCACTATACTGCGGTTACTATTCGAGCGAGTATTGTAGAGCAAGTACTATTAGTGCGAGTGATATCCGAAGGCGTCTGACACCAGCATTGTTCAACGGCGTTACTATAGTTGTATCTGCAACTACAAAGTCTCTACTACAACGAACATTACGAAAGTGACAACAAGTGTTCGATGACATCACAAAAGTGGCAACGGATGTTCGTTTAGTCACAAAAGATACAAAGGAACGAGTACTGAACTGTTACGTAATATCAGTCCTTCTCTATGGCAGTAAATGCTGAACAGTCTCATCAAAGATGAAGAATAGACTTGAAGCAACTGAAATGTGGCTCTACAGAAAGATGCTGAGAATACCATGGACGGAACATGTAAGCAACTCTGAAGTTCTATATAAACTGGCAACAAAAAGGACACTTCTATTTAACATCAGGAAGAGACTAGAAAATTTATTAGGGTACAGGAAAGAAGGATTGGAAAATTTGACACTCACAGGAGAGATTGAAGGCAAGATGGACAATGGAAAATAACGTATAACCTAGTAACGAGCTTCAGTAAATGGATAGCGGGACAAGGTTTAGGAGAAATAAAAAAAGACGAAATTTATTAAGAGCTACAACAGACAGGAAATTGTGGAGAGCCATGATCGCCAACGTTCTGAAGGTGAAACATAAGAAACATGAAAAATAACGTAAGATTTAGTTTATACAGTTGTCTAGTCTCTCATGATAACCCATGTCATGAAAGAACACGGCCCCTACATAAAGAAGACATTTTGTATGTATTTTTGAGAGACTCTATATTTATTATGCTGACATCTAAAGACGAATATTCCTGTTCGAAAATTAAAATAATCCATTCTTTTATTCAGTAAGAATACACTTTTGTCTTGTTTTCTAAAAGATCCTATTCAAGTAATACACTGATTCATTTGTTTTCTTTTTCTTTTTTTCTTTTTTTTCCTTTTTTTTTATTCTTATCAACCTTTTGCCAGTTATGTAGAACACAAAACTATTTTTAGACTGTAAGTTGATTTTGGAAGTAATAATGATTTTCACTGATACACGTTCTACTAATTAACCTATATCTGGGGGAGAAGAGTTTCATCCTTTTTTCCAAGGCTATTTGTGCATAATATAACGAACCCGACTTTAATTGGAACTAGGCTCTCCGATTTCCAATTCCGAGTCGTCATCTCTTACACCACCTGCACACCCAAACTTACAACACCTAGTATTTCCAAGTGGTTAAGCAGATAGATCGATAGATAGATAGATAGATAGATAGATAGATAGATAGATAGATAGATAGATAGATAGATAGATAGATGGAATTGTATAAGAAAATAGAGACAAAGCATTGTCCAATTCCGAGTCGTCATCTATTATACCACCTGCATATCCAAGCTTTCAACACCTGGTATTCCCAAGTGGTTAGATAGATAGATAGATAGATAGATAGATAGATAGATAGATAGATAGATAGATAGATAGTGATATGGAGATGAGATAGATAGATAGATAGATAGATAGATAGATAGATAGATAGATAGATAGATAGATTATGAAAAACGGAAAGAAAGAAACATTATAAAGAAAGAAAGAAAGAAAGAAAGAAAGAAAGAAAAAAAGAAAGAAAGAAGAACACGCGAGGTAAATACGAAAAAATTGTGATATGAGTGGCGATAGATAGATAGATAGATAGATAGATAGATAGATAGATAGATAGAGACAAAGAATTTGTCAAATGAAAGGGAGAGTGAGGGGGAGAGGGCGATGGGAATAGAGTGTGAGGGAAGAGAGAGGGAAAGGGAGGGAGAGGAAGAGAGAAGTGGAGCAAAAGAGATAGGCGTAAGAGAGTGGGAACGAGCGGGGCGAGAACAGAGAAAGAGATACAAGAGGAGAGAGAAGGTGATGGACGTTGTTGATTAACTTCGGTGATCGTACGGGAATCGATGTTTCAACGTGATATGGCCGTTACGTTATATAGCTCCAAATCCCGCTTTAAATGTTTCACTTTAACCTTATCGATATCCATAGCTTTTGTCTTTGTTCGTTTGTTCTTTACATTATATATTCACTGATATACTGTATAAATTGTTTTCCAATGTGTATTATTTGTTTTTCTGAGCATCGCTAGAAAAGTCCATTAAAAGAAATCACATATAAAATGTTAATTACAAATATCTTTCTCGTTCCTTCATATATTTTTTCTTCTTAAACGGAGATTCATTTATATTGGGTTGGTGCATAATTATCAGGCGTTTTGTGGGGGGGGAGTTTTTTTTTTTTTAAGCTTATCACCCCAAGCAAGGTGGGAAGCCACTAGGACGCAAGGGGTTACAGAAGATTTAGAGCAAGATCAGAAAGGAGTGATAGAGGAAAGAATGAGGAGAAGGATAGTGCATAGATCAAGGCAACTGGAGATGTCGATTGACATTACATTTGAATAGTTGGAGATTATAGCTCCCAGGGAAACTGGAATAGGGAAGGGAGTTCCACAGGCGAGAGGTTATTTGTTAATAAGAATTGCTGTTTTGTTTACTTTTTTAATAAAAATATTATTTTATTTTCAGATTATAAAAGTGCATGTCGATAATCATACGCTCCGGAATAATCATTTAAAAATGTTATTGTTGAATTGTTACATTTCTTTTTTCATAATAAATAGTGTTTAAAAAAGCCTGATAATTATATACCAACCCAATATTTGTATTTACATATAAACGCCACATTTAAGTAAAGCAGAGTGTATTTAATTATATAGACTCGTACATGATACTGAAAAAAATATATAGGCTGGCTGATTCTCATGTACTTCTGTGCTAAATTATTTTTAAAAATATCGACGGCTTCTAAAAGAAAAAGAAAATTTCCACTCACCTATACCGATAAAAATAAAAAACAAAACTAATTCTGTATGCCTCTCTCTCTCTCTCTCTCTCTCTCTCTCTCTCTCTCTCTCTCTCTCTGTGTGTGTGTGTGACCTCTCTCCGTTCTTCCCACCTCTCTCTCTCTTCTCTCGCTTCCCCACACCCTTTTCTCCTCACCATTTTTTTTTCATTCGACAATGCTTTGAGTCAGGAGTTCGATTCTCACTGGGTACTACATATTTTCAGCCTCGTGTCACATTTAAGCTACGCTGACTAAATCGCCATCTTTCTGTCATCTTTCGATATTTTTATCTTTATCCATTAGCCAAAACCAATGTTATTTGTACTCAAGAACCGTACATATACATTAAATTATTCTCTCTATCCCTCTCTCCCTTCCACTTCCCGTGCCTTTCTGCATCTATCTATGTCTGATCTTTTTAATATCTATCTATCTATCTATCTATCTATCTATCTATCTATCTATCAGTCTGAATCAGTCTGTTCATATCTATCTGTCTCAGTCTGCTCCTATCTATCACAGTCTGCTTATATGTATCGATTCATTATCTATCTGTTCATATGTGTTTCTCTAAAGGATCTATCTATCTATCTATCTATCTATCTATCTATCTATCTATCTATTTTTCATCCTTTTTTAGTTGTCTAAGCGAAGAAAAACACTATTATTTGTACAAAGGGACAATATACAAACAAATTATTTTCTATTTTGTCTTTCTCTCTCACACACTCACGCACATACACGCACATACACACACAAGCACAAACACACTTTATACTTTTTATTTTTTCTTCTATCTATCTATCTATCTATCTATATATATATATATATATATATATATATATATATATATATATATATATATATATATATATATATATATATATATGTCAGGGACCCTCGTTCTCCTCTCACCTTGTCTGTTTTTTTTCTTCATCATTTATTTTCTTACATTTCTTCTTCCTTTTTCTTTTCTTTTTTGCGGACGCTCCCTTTCTCTTTTTATATTTCTCTTCTTTTCTCTCATTTTCATTTACATTTTTCATTCTTCTCTCCCCTACTCTCTCCGTCTCCCACCCACTTTCTCTACACTCCCCTCTCTCTCTCTCTCTCTCTCTCTCTCTCTCTCAGTTAATTTTTTTCTTTTTACTCTCTGTATTTTCTTCTCTTTTTCTTTCCTGCTTTTTATTATTTCAAATAGCTAACTTTTATAAGTGCGCTGAAGAAAGTCCTTTAAACACGCATTCACATAGAGAACACCCCCCACATCTTCGCGAGTCATACTAGCTCTCCTTCTCCTTCACCTTCTCCCCGCTTTTTCTCTTTTTGACTCTCTCTCTCTCTCTCTCTCTCTCTCTCTCTCTCTTATACGTTTTCCAAATTACTCTCAATCTATCCATTTTGACCTCTCTCTCTCCTTCTGTCGCTCCTTCTCTCTTTTTTGCACGAGGTACTCTTACTCTATCCATTTCTACCTCTCTCTCCTTTCCTCTCTCTCTCTTTCTCTCTACATGTATATTTTCTTCCCATCCTTTTCCAAGTTACTCTCAATCTATCCATTTTTATCTTTCTTTTTCTAAAACCTTTCTCTCTCTCTCTCTCTCTCTCTCTCTTTCTCTCTCTAGATGAACGTTTTCCTTCCATCCTTTTCCAAGTTACCCTCAATCTATCCATTTGTATCACTCTCCCTTTCTCTCTCTCTCTCTCTCACTCACTCTCTCCGTGTACGTTTTCCTTCCATTCTTTTGCAAGAGATACTCTCTCTATATATCCATTTCTATCTATCTTTTTCCTCCTCTCTCACTTTCTCTCTACATGTTTTCCTTACATTCCATGAGTTACTCTCACTATATCCGTTTTATCTCTCGCTGTCTCTCTTTCTCATTGTATGTTTGTTGATCTTACATTTAAGCAAATAATTTTACGCGTATATTTTTACATAGAACAGCCTTCAGACACAAACACACACACACATACATGCAAACAAACAGACACACACACATATGTATATCTGCACAGACAGAAACACATAAATTCGCAAGCACACTTGTTCATAAGTGACGGTGTTGAAATTTGAGCTGGACTCTATGAAAAGCTAATTGGGTCTTTGCCCAAATTACAATCGTTTTCACTGGCTATTCCCGCGACGACGAGAACGGACAGCGCAACTAGAAACGAATTTGATTGTAATATGTGTTTACAGTGTAATTCGTCGGCCAATATTTTATGAGGATTTATTACATTTCGCCCGACCATTGGGACAAATGTGATTAATCTCCTCTTCCTTCTCCTCTTCCTTCTCCTCTCCACCTTCTTCGATACATCCATCTATCTGTCTATCTCATTATCTAACTTTCCCTCTTCGTGCTTTTTTCTTGTCCTCTTTTGGTTTCTCTCTCTCTCTTTGCTATGTTTCTCTCTTTGCTATTATCAAACTTTCACACTCTCTCTCTCTCTCCTTCCCTCTTTCTTTCTTTCTTTCTTTCTTTCTTTCTTTCTTTCTTTATCTATCTATCTATCTATCTATCTATCTACATTTGTATCATTATAGGATTATAGGTCGTGATAAACCTTAATGGAGAATATATAGGCAGAAGCAAGCCTATACAGAATAAGATATGTGTAGATTTATGGCTACGACTTCTCTTTTATATCTATCTATCTATCTATCTATCTATCTATCTATCTATATATATATATATATATATATATATATATATATGTGTGTGTGTGTGTGTGTGTGTGTGTATGTATGTATGTATGTCTTTCTATCTATTTTTTCTCTGCGTGTCTTCTCTGAATATCCCTCTTTTCTGTTACAATCTATCACTTTATCTTACTCCCCCACGAGCCTTCTTCTATCTTGCTTATTCTTTTGTACGTATCTCCTTCCCCCTTGTTTCCTTGTCCCATCCCTCTCTATATTTCTGAGATAAGGTATTATAATTATTTACATTGTTCAGACTCTTGTCCTCATCTTTGTTGCCATATTCACGACGTTTCAGCCCTTTTACACCCGGCCTTTTTCAGCCGAAAACATCGTGAATATGGCAAACAAAGATGAGAACAAAGCCCGAACAAATAAATAATGTAAATAATTACAATACCTCATCTCAAAAATATAAACAGATAATAATGTTAATAGTGTAAAATATATATATATATATATATATATATATATATATATATATATATATATATATATCTATCTATCTTTATTTATTTTACTGTCTCATAATTGTTCTTGGTTCTGTTTTGCCTATTAAAATTCTTTGACGACCTTCTTTTGCTTTTGATTCATTACTCTTCTCTAACTCACTCTTTCTTTCTCACTCTTTTCTCTCTCTCTCTCTCTCTCTCTCTTTCTCTCTCTCTCTTTCTTCTGGTTCTTTATCCTTCTCGGTCTCTTTATCTCTCTCTCTCTCTCTCTCTCTCTCTCTCTTTCTCCCCTCTTCCCTCCGTTTCTTTATCTATCTATATTCTCTTTGCGGGCCTTCTTTGAATATCCCTCCTTTCTGTTTCAATCTATCACTTTATCATACTCTCCCCCGTGCCTTCTTTGCTCTTGCTTATCCTTTTCTCTTTGTTCTCCACATCTCCCTTGCCCTGTTTCTTTATCTTGTGTCTCTCTCTTTCCGCTTCACCTCTCCCCTCTTATCTATCTATCTATCTATCTATCTATCTATCTATCTATCTATCTATCTATCTATCTCACGTTCGTTCTTCGTTCTCTTTTGCTTCTTAAAATTCTTTAACCTTTTTTGTTTTTGATTTATGACTGTTCTCCAACTCGCTTTTTCCTCTCCCTATTGTCTCTCTTTTTCTTCTGTTTCTTTATACTTCTCTCTCTCTCTCTCTCTCTCTCTCTCTCTCTCTCTCTCTCTTTGTTTATCTTTCTCCACTTTCTTCTCCCTATCTTTCTCTCACTTTTCCACGTTTGTTCTTTCCTCGTTCTTGAACAAAACATTTTCTGATTGGTCCACGTCACAAGCCAGATAATTTACCCTGAAGTGTACATTCACGCAAGACAAATTCTGCAAAGCTATTGCCCACATTGCCAAGGCATGTTTCAAATACACCAGACTAATGAAATGCACTCCCTGACTTCTCCAAATATTATTCAAACAGAAAACTTGCAGAAATAGACTTATATGATTAAGAAGCACTATTCATATAAAGAACATACCTGGGAAGCAGTAGAAGCCGTTGCAGGTAATGTTAAAGTCGAAACAGTAGAAAAGGTTTAAAAATCAATGGTTGAAAGACTAGCCAAAGTGACAAAAGGAAATCATATTAACACGCAAACTCGTAAAGTAATAATTTTTGTTTATTTGAATATTGTGTTAAAAAATATGTTTCTGCGGTGTATATCTTTTGAGTTTATTTATAGATAAATATGTAAACTGAACTTTCCGTACTAAAACCAAACTCGCCACATAAACAAATTATTAGCATTATTTAAATACGGATAGGTATTATTATTACAGTGTAACCCGGATATAAGAGAGTTGTCGGGACCGGAGAAGAAGTCTCTTATATCCGGGTTTCTCTTATATCCGGGTTTGGTCTAATTTATATACATTAGCACAGGTCTAATTTGGGGACCAGAGAAATCTCTCTTATATCCGGTTTCTCTCATATCCGGGTCTCTTATATCCAGGTTACACTGTATTATTATTATTAATTTATTATTATAGAATGATATTATAATATATAACTATATAATATATATTATCTCTATCTATAAAAAAGGCAGGATGTGTGTGTGTGTGTGTGTGTGTGTGTGTGTGTGTGTGTGTGTGTGTGTGTGTGTGTGTCTGTGTGTGTGTGTGTGTGTGAGAATGACAACTCTTGAATTCAAAACAATTTTCGACAGTCATTATTTTGGGAAATTTACATACTTATGCTCAATTTAGTGGGAAGGACTGACGTTATTTTCAGTTAACAATGAAAAATAGCGTTCTCTACAATTCCCCAGTTGTTAGGACATTCTGTTTATTGTTATTATTGGTTACGTTTTTAATTAAATTCATTTCGTTTTTTACTTTGAGAAGTCCACATTGGACGAAACGCGTCGCTTAATAACTACAATTTTTCCTATTGTCATTTATATTTATAATATTGTCTTTTTTAAAGGTTATCTCTGATAAATTTTTATATATATATATATATATATATATATATATATATATATATTTTTATGCCCCAATGTGAGGTCAGCCTACTCGCACATATATTTGATTATATTGCTGGTAATTTCTGGAAGAACTAAACAGAACTTTCAGAATAACCGAATTCAAGGAACTGGCGCACATCGTGTGCCACAATGTCCCCAAACGACCCTCCCCTGATTTTGAGTTCAGAATTGTCCTTCTCCTCAGTTTCATAACATTTAGCAATCTTTGAATTTTCAATGTTTTTTACACACACACACACACACATATATATATATATATATATATATATATATATATATATAAAGAGTATAGTTTTTAACGTATGCTATATTTACGGGTATAAGTGCTCAGTATCAGAGATAGAACCTATGTAAATATAAAGTTTATAATGAGAACAGCACCTAGCGGCGACTGTCTGTTTCAGGCTTCAAAGCAGTCTTCAGGCCATGAACAAGTTAAGATTCTAGTGATCGGGAAAATAACCAGTTAGAAGTCGGTTTCACAGAGTGGAACTTACTTCTCCCTGCTGAAATACGGAGGAAATGTGGGTGGTTTGATACAATGTAAGTGGCATGTCGGGTCCTAGCTGTGAAGGTTAGACCTGGCGGGACCAAGGAATATAGCTCGTCCGAGCACTTTCCGTGCAAGTAGCGATAGAGCAGCGAGAGACTTACTATATTCCGCCTGTGAGAGAGAAGCTGTAGGATGAAAAATAATTCGTCACTCACAAGGATTCAGGAACTGGTATGTACGAGATTTACGTGACGTCAGGTGTTATATATAAGGCCCAAATATATCTCAAGATACGCTATCTCGAGGGGAGATCCGTTCGTCGTTACTGGTGGTAGTTCCGAGCCCGATATATATAAATATATATATATATATATATATATATATATATATATATATATATATATATATATATCAAATATAGCATCGTCTTCGACTTATGAGGAAAATGACCCAGGATTTGAATTCAGAGCTGTCCTTCTACTTGGAGTCCAATCTGCGCTACTATTTACCCATAGCTGGGGGAGAAAAGATTCATAGCTTTCTCAACGGTATTTGTAGGTAAGTAATTTAACGAATTAAATGGAATTCGAACTAGGTCCTTCGATTTCTCATTCCCTAAATCAATATCCATTACACACACACGGACACACATATGCATACACACACACACACACACACACATATATATATATATAAAATTCGTTGTATCCCAACATTTTCTCGGCATTTGGCCCTCATAATCACCTTTGTTTCAGCGTCAATTTATCTCCCCTTCAACCCCATAAATGCCTCTTTCTCTTGGCATCACTTAAAGCTGGGAACGTCCGGGGCTCCGCTCCAACGCGTCAGAGAACTATGGCGGTGTCCGACCCGGGAACAACACATTAAAGACGGATGTTCTTGGCAATTTTCCGCCAAAATTTTTCAAAATGCGCCTAATTTACGAGCTGGTTTCCCGAATCTTCCATTTGTGGCTGAAATATATTCCAAACACAAAATGTAACAAGACAGCAGCCACTTCTTCTTCTTCTTTTTTTTTCTCCTTCTTCTTCTTCTTCTTTCTTCCGTGTGATACATTTCTCGACTGCTTGTTGCCACAGTCTGGTCGTTTCGAAAACCAACGGCTCAGCACATTAAATTAATCAGTGACCCGTATCTGACCAACCATTTCAACCGTTGGCACACCGCCTTACCCTCTCATCATTTCTCGAACGTTGTCATCGCTGACTCGCATCCAAAATGGTAGAAGCCTCTGTTAATCAGCTAAAAACATAGATTCTTTAGACATTGCAATAATATGCAACGGTGTCCAGTGCAAAATCAACGTCGAAGTAGTCGAATTAATTTAATACTAAACACAAATGGACATAGACTACTTCATAAAGAAAAGAATTTTTAAAATGATTTTAAATAGATCTTTAATAAGAGTAAAGAAAACAAAAGAAAATTGGGAGAGATATTTTATTGCTGGTTGCATTATTCTGTGAAATATCCCTATCACAAGGTTTTCATCCATACAATAAATGCGAATGTCACTGTGGCATACTTTTTCAACTTTACTAATATAGGCATTAGCCCAACATATCATATCATTTTAGAATCAGGCCGACTCCGTGAGCAAATTAAAAACATCCCGAGCCGGATCCGGAACCGCAATCCCGACATTTTGGATTCCTAACTTTTCAAAACTGCGATTGTTTTCGGCTATTTTTGTACAATAAATCTATATATATATATATATATATATATATATATATATATATGAAGTCAACTTAACGGCACACCGCGAAATTGATATTAGGTGACATCGGGCTGTATAGAGATGAGTGGATATAATGGTGGTGAGGAGTTAAATACTAGTTTTTGAGATTGAAAAATCCCATAAAAATTATATTTAGTGAATTTATATAAACTAAACTTAAAGATAACTGTATCTTCTAATTTGAAAAAGGTTAAAATCCTCGACGTTACTTCTAGACTACTCTCAGGCAACACATACCAACTTTATAGAAAACCAAATATAACCCTTTATACATACAGTTGAAGTCAAACCATCCTCCATCAATAATTAAACATATACCCTCATCAATAGAAAATAGAATTAGCATTAACTCTGAAAACAAGGAAATATTCCAACAACACAATGGCTTCTATAACACTGCCCTAAAAAATAGTGGTTATAAAAAATAATAAGTATTAACTATAGAGAAAATTACACTGGCCATAGAAAAAAAAACAGGAAAAGAAATATCATTTGGTACATCCCCTCCGTTCAACCAAAAGGGTTAGTATTAAACTAGGACAGAACTTAGCTCTAATTGATAAACACTTCCCCACCAATAGTAAGCTTAGTAATATATTCAATAAGAACACCCTAAAATTGAGTTACAGCTGCTCTGAAAATCTTGAATGTATAATAAAAAAACACAATAATAAGATCTTGAACAAACCCCCATGCCAAAACAGTATTAATAAAAACTCTGCACTTAAACCAGATGATAAAAGGGAAAAATTATGTAACTGTAGAAACCTAGAAGACTGCCCATTAGAAAATAAATGTTGTATTAATTCTGTGGTATACCAATGTACTATTTCATCCACAGAGAGCCCTAGCACTAATATGATATACATTGGGTCCACGAAGAATAATTTTAAAGATAGATGGAGGCAGCATAAATGCTCCTTTAATAATATAAACAAAAGAAATCAGACTTCACTATCAAAATATTTTTGGCACCTGAAGGAAACAAATAGGACACCAAAAGTTAAATGGAAAATCATTGATAAGGCTAGAACATGTAAAGCTTGGGATGACCCATGCCCTTTGTGCCTCCATGAAAAATTACACATTATTAAACTTCTAAATAATAATAATCTATTAAATAATAGACACGAGTTAACGGTTTTTTGTAGGCATCATCAGATTTTTGGTTTGAATTATTAGATATAAAAAAAATAAAAAATAAAAAAAATAAAAAAAATAAAATAAAATAAAAAAAAAATTTATAATAACTTGTTTAACAAATAGCCCAATCATCAGATTCATAGTAGGAATAATTAACTACAAACATGCATACAACATAACACCCTTCATAATCCATAGCCCAAATAAGTAGTTTAAATACCTTACATAATAGATAACCCTTTATGAAGTCGTCAAAAAAACAAACGTTACGAAAGTTTTTGTTTTTGTTTTTTTTATATGCACAATTCCTTTCATAATAAAATAAAATAAAATAAATAAATCTCCATAGACAAGCAAACTAGACGAAGGTTAATACATCTTCCGTTTCATTTTAGACACCCCACCTTTTCCCTGACTTGACATCTTGAAAGTATCTCTATACCGCTACTTATTATTAACACCCTACACTTGCCTACCCAATTTAAACAATTCGCCCTTGCTGTTACCATGGAGATTTTGATTTCAATTTTTAAAACAAGTAAATTTCAGATATACGTTATTCCAACAAAAAATTCGCTTGAAGATGGAACGGAGCCCATTTTAATTTAAACTCAATTTAATTTAAATGATTATATTGAAGTTTTCGGCTCTTGTTTTGAAACATGAGACCTCTTATGTAGCGATTTGGAATCAAATTTTAAATAAAAATAATTATATATATATATATATATATATATATATATATATATATATGTGATAACGATATATAATTTTTTTATATATTAAGAACAGTTTTGAAAGAAATGTGTATGACAAAGTGAGAAAAGTTTTCGTGTGACCCGCTTCATCCCATAGGACTTCATCGGCCTAGGTTTGTTTACGTTGATGCGACTACGCATGCGCATGAACTTCTGTAGAACCACCTTTCTGTTGCTTTAAGTCTCTTCTTCATTTGTGAGGAGATTGTCCAGCATTTACAGTTATATAGGAGGACTGATATAACATATAGGAGTTTAGTAGTCTTTTCTTTGTTTATAAGGATTGTTTTCTGTTTCTAATACGGCTCTTCTGCCATGCATCTAACTCAGCTCGTTAAGTGGGTTACTCTCTGTTTCCCTCTGTTCCTCTTACCGTCAATATCTCCCATGAGAGTCGATTTCTCTTTGGTTATGTGCCCCAGAAATTTCATACGGTCTTTTTCTGATTTTACAACATCCCTTTTATTCACATGCACCGTCCATGGTATTCTCAGCATGATTTTGTATAAACACATTTCTGTTTCTTCAAATCACCTCTTCATTTTGGGGGAAATGTCCAGCATTCATTAGAAATATTAATATGCATTTCAGTAGTCTTTCCTTTGTTTCTAAACAAGATTTCCTCTTTCTTAATACTTTGCTTAGCTTTTAGAAGTCCACTTTCACTATTCCAGTGCAGCTTCGCATTTTGGTGCCATATTTTCAGTCGTCTTTTAAAAAACTTCCCAGATAGTCAGATTTCTGTACTTGTTTGATCCTGACGTCTAATTTTAACGTCTCCAATTCGTAGCTCGCATGTTGGGATCTCCTTCTTGCTAAAGGTCATATTATTCCATCTACTTACAATTAGTAGTTAGTCCTTTCTTCTCGCTTTTCTTTACTGCACATCTAGGAGTTCCTGAAATGTTTCTTTCTCTGTTTGTCTTCAACACAGTGTCATCTATGCATATTATTTTATTAAGATCGTGTCGACCTATAATAAATTCTGCTAGGACTTCTAGTTCACATAGGATCGCTTCTCTATAAATGTTAAATACACCCGGTGAAAAGACACGTCTTTATCTTTTAAAAAAAAAATCCTACATCTTTTCTGAATGTCGACAGCTGTTGATATGCAAAGATGGCCGTGGTGATATTTAATGAATAAAATATTATACCATTATGGATTATTTTAGAAAGAAAGAAAGAAAAGAGAAAGAAAATCTGCAAAAAGTAAACAAAACGAAAAGGTCACATTCTTTGCTAGTGTGCAACATCAAATGTTCAGCTTTTAATCGACGTTTAACAACGGCCAATCACTATTGTCATAAGTGTTATCACGTGACACTCAAAACGCCATCTCCCTACCTCTTCCCCCTCTCTCTTTCTTTCTCTCTTTCTCTCTTTCTCTCACTCTCGCTCACTCTCTGTCTCGCTGTCTCTCTCTTCCTTTGAAGAAGACATTCTATTGAATTCTGAAGCTAATTATTTTAATATGATTACATGTTTAATTTTTATTTATTAAGAGAAATAAAATGAAAACGGAGACGACCAGTTCCTGTATAAACAGTTCATTTTGCAAACATTAATTCTCTCTTGGTTTCTTTTCCAAATATCCGTTTTATTCCGTATTTTTATTTTTATTTTTATTTTTTTTTTTTTTTTTGAGGAAACTTTCTCTTTCATTCTAAACTGGTCATCAGATGATGGAAAATTAATTGTAAAAAGATGGCTTCCTCCCGGCTACGCCCCTCCAGGTGCAACTTAAACACGGAAAAGGAGATGCCTAGAAAAAATAAATCGGTTATGAAATTAAAATATTAACTTTTTTTTTTCTTTAAAGATTTTACTGAGAATTAATCAAAGGCTCATTAACAGGCAGTCGAATTGACATTCCTCTCAGTTCTTCAATCAAATCAGCTACGATATGCCCGGAAACTATCCAGCCGTTTCACACACACACACACACACATACACACACACACACATATATATATATATATATATATATATATATATATATATATATATATACAGACTGTATACACAGACCGCTTCTCTAGAGATAAGATACCTTACACCCCCACTAATCGCTAACACAAACTGATTCTCATTAACAAGGCGTCTACCAGAGGAGGACTGACATTGAAAATAAATTTAAAACAATGCTCCAGGATAGACACTTAAGAGCTGATAATAGTCACGTATAGAACGGCTTGAAATAGACTATACCATGCTGAGGTAATTTGGGGTTTTTTGCTGTAAAAATACATACTTTTTTTTATATAAAATACGTCAAGATCAGTTTTAATAATTAATATTACTAGGATCCACCGGATTATATAGCAACGGATCAATTACCTGTATATATATATATATATATATATATATATATATATATATATATATATATATATATATATATAATCGTAGTCGACTCTCCCATCGAATTCGACGTATGAGGATCAAGCAGATCAGTTCCCAGGAAACCGACAGCCCGACAACAGCACATGAGATTTGATTATAGTGGTGAAAGTTTCGTGCAGGACCATCCACACTTTTTGAAGAGCCGAATAGAGAGACCTGGTGCACTAAGTGCCACAAGATCCCCAAACGACCCTCCGCAGGTTTTGAATTCTGAGTTATCCTTCTCCTAGACCAGTTGCCATCCAAGGCTATAGAACCCAGTCTCTCCTGCTATTTACCCATAGCTGGAGGGAGAAGAAGGTGTGAATAGATAGATAGATAGATAGATAGATAGATAGGATGATTGAAAAGTAACTCCCTATTTTATGTATGAGCGGACATCCAGGAGTTCTGACTTAACACCCAGTACCTTTTTTTTTCTTTGGAATTGGTTAAAGAAGCAAGTCTGCTACACCAAACCAAGACTTTGGAAGAACTTGAAGGGCGAATACAAGATGTTATGTCTTCCATACCACAAGAGTTCCTGGTGAAATCAGTTGACACGATTCCTGGGTAGCTCCAGAAGCTGGTAGCAAAATCTTATGCCCATATCAAATTTTAAGTAAAACCTCATGCTAACGCTTTCCACTCATATCCATTTCTTGTAAAAATTACAGTTAATAAATAAATTAAATCGAATTTTTTCAAATATCTCTGTTCCTAAAAGAATTACTCCTTTCGCAAGGCAATATAAATGGCTATAAAAAAAATTAATATTAAAAGAAAACGATTAAATTCATAACCTCCTTTTTAGTTAAACTATATAATATATAAATTAATCCCAAACTAAAATATATATTTTTTTAAATTCAGCATCTTCTACTCACTTTTGTTTATTAGACATTAAATTACATCACTTAGCGTCTACCATAATTTCACTAGACTTTTTAGTTAGCCTGGTGAAAATTTATGGGCATTTCTTAAATTTAATTTTTTTAACGACTAAGAACATTTTTATTTTGTTTATAAATACTTGTTGCAAAATAAAATCTTTACATTTACCGTGATAAAGTCCATCAGTGGACGAAACGTGTTGGTTAAGATAAGTTTTATTTTTTATTTTTTTTATTCATATATTCAGCCGGGTTTCGATCCTAGCTAGAGGTAATGGAACGTCTAACTCACAGATAGACTGTGATACAGTGAAACAGTCTGTCTGTGGATGACACTATATATATATATATATATATATATATATATATATATATATATATATATATATATATATATATATATATATATATATTCTTAGTACTCTGCTTGAACTACACAGACTTATGCCAACGACCTTTCCAAATTACAAAATAGTCTGCAAAACTTTCTTTCAGTAGCTCCATCTATAATTGTAATAGTAATATTGCAGGCGTATTGAGATGGCCAGGACACATTCCAAAAGTTGGGCAGAGTACTACGAGACAGGAAGGATATTTTTGATATACATGACATCTGTCCTTCTTTACGGCAGCGAATGTTGGACGATTTCCTCAAAGATGAAGAAACTCGAGGCGATAGAGATGTGGTTCTACAGAAGGATGCTGATAATATTGTGGACCGAGCGTCTGAGCAACGATGATATCTTAGAGAGGATGCAAACAAGGAGAAGGCTTATACTTAATATCAGGTAGAGGTAGCTGAATTTTCTGGGACACATAATGAGGAAGGAGGGCCTGGAAAATCTGATACTCACGGGTCTAATAGAGGGAAAGATCGACAAGGGAAAACAACGCGTGACATACCTGGCGGACTTAAGCAAGTGGATGACAGAACGTGATGTGAGGGGGGGAGCAGAAGGAAGGAACTTGTTGAGAACTGCAAGGGATAAAGGGAGATGGAGAACCATTATCGCCTATGTCCTGAAAGGAAATGGCACATAAAAAGAAAGAATATTAGCCGTTTCCTGATATGGAAATATTCGGCAGTTATTGACCGAACAACCAGTATTACTGTCGGTTGAAATTTATAATCCCTTTTTATTAAAACAATTTTGCTATCCATTTTAATTCTGGCTGTTGAAAGATCTCGGGGGATGTAGTTTCTGTTATCTGGTACAGTTTTTGTTGTTTTGTAGCCCTAGTCCACAAAGCACGACAAAGAAGATTCTTAATAAAATCAAAAAGAAGAATCCGCGATATTATAGGTCCTGTCTTGGCATTTCGGCTTTATTCAGTTTACAGTTACCGTAATGTAGCCTCTATACGCCTTTTCCATAAATACTTCGTGTAATTGTGCTGATGAACTTTCCTCTATGATACCTAGACTTAATGAATTTGGCAACAAGGTGTCATCAATTTACAGATGAATTGGCTAGATGCAACCATAAGTTCTGTGCTAACAGTTTCTCTCGCTTCTCTTCCGAGTTCTTGCTTTCCAGCCAACTTTGATCTTCAAAAATCTAAATGCAATGTCAATAATTTTCTACTGTTTTCTTAATTCCTCTTTTATTTTTCTCACTCGTTAATAATATTTTCTTTCTTTTTCTTATTCTTTCACACTCAGTAACCCCCCCATGTGTCTTAGTGGCTTTATCGCCTTCCTTGGGGATAAATTATTGAAAACAATAATAATAACAGCGTTTTTCATTGGGGTACACTTCGTATTCCTCTCATCATCATGGAGAGCAATCTTTTCTATTACCTCTGAATGATTGGAAATCTAAAGACCTGCTTACGTTGAAACACCTGTTTCTGTACGATCAACCAAGTAAAGTGAAGCCTGGTCAATACCTAGATAGGTGACGGCTTGGGAAGATCAGGTACTGTAAGTTTGGATGTGCGGTTGGTGTAATCGATAATAAGCCAATTCAAATTGCCGTTAGGGTTATTGAGCCAAATTCTGGGAAAGGTATAATTCAAATTGCCGTTGGGTTCGTTATTGTCACTTACTCACAAATATCCTTGGGAAAGGTATGAATTCAAATTCCCATTGGGTTCGTTATTGTCACTTACTCACAAATATCGTTGGGAAAGGTATGAATTCAAATTCCCATTGGGTTCGTTATTGTTATTCTAAATGTCCTTGGGAAAAGGTATGAATTCAAATTCCCGTTGGGTTCGTTATTGTCACTTACTCACAAATATCGTTGGGAAAGGTATGAATTCAAATTCCCATTGGGTTCGTTATTGTTACTTACTCACAAATGTCCTTGGGAAAGGTATGAATTCAAATGGCCGTTGGGTTTGTTATTGCCACTTACTCGCAAATATCCTTGGGAAAGGTATGAATTCAAATTCCCGTTGGGTTCGTTATTGCCACTTACTCGCAAATATCCTTGGGAAAGGTATGAATTCAAATAGCCGTTGGGTTTGTTATTGTCATTTACTCACAAATATCCTTGGGAAAGGTATGAATCCACATCTTCTCTCTCAAGTATGTTTTAATTAGTAAGACTTGAATAACTAAACCATTAATATCTCCAAAAGTAAAATAAAAGATAAAATTTCGTACAAAATATTTAGATTTTGGCATTCAATAAAGCATAGAGGTTAATATGACGCTGACCAAAATCAACCAAACTACCAAACTACTAATCAACCAACAGATTAGAATGGTAGCAAGATATTCAGTAGAGCGATTGAAATGATGATTCTACAGAATTCATAAAACCTGCTATTTTTCCATAAGTATTGCCCAAATTCTCTAAGGACCAAAAACTAAACTTGAAATGAAAATCTAAAAGAGACATTAATTTTCAGTCAGCCATTGTCCATTGGCTGATTTAAAAAAAGAGAAGAAAAGAAAGGATAAAGAGATCGAAAAGGTGACTGACTCATGACGATTACTCTAATTTTAAGCAAGCTTTCATCCTCTCCTTGAACCAATTCCTTCACCCCGATGTCTCGCGTCGTAAAAGAAAGAAGGGGTAAAGTATCACTTTCTAACCAGTTTCTTTTTACACCATTTTTTTTTTTTCATTTCATTTCGTTTCATTTTTATTTTATGTTATTTATTTTTTGTAATTAGCAACTTTAATTTTAATGGTAATTCTAGAGTGGAAACACTTCTTGAAAAAAAATGCTGTCTCAGTTGTCACATTAAAGTGTCAGATTCTATGAGTGTTACGTTGAATTAAATGTTGATGAGAAGTCGCTTGGTGGCTGCCTTTCAGTTTTGACTGCTGTATTAATTATTTGTGTTCGCCTGATATGCCGACACGGAAGGAAAAATCCTGAATGCAAAAGAAAAGCAACGTGAATGAGAAAATCAAGCAGAAAAATAATGTCAAGTGACTTAATACTTGTCCGTGGTCGTTGCATCACAAATTCATTCTTTCAAAGATATATGTTTACAGGGTATATACAGGGTGTATTAAAATTACTTTTACAAACTTTGCGGGTGGGTGCCTCACACAAAAATAACAGGGACAAAAGTCCATATAAACATGTCCATAAATCGTTCGTTTTTGAGTTATTAAGTTTAATATGTTGCCATTTAGACTAGGTTACATTTGTCATTCGTGTACATTTGTGACTCGTCTGTTTTCAACGTTTAACGTGTGTAGTAGTGAGTTAACTGAGAAGAGTTCCGCTTAACAATGGCAGGATATTCATATCGTGAGCAGGTCTATATATATATATATGTGTGTGTGTGTGTGTGTTTAAAAAATTAAGAGAAGAGCTAATCACGCTTTAAAAGTATTGAAATTGTATTTGAGTGGGAGTAAATAAAATATACCCTCATCCTGGTTTATTTACTCCCCCTCCAATACAATTTCAATACTATTGCTTTACTCCCCACTTCTGTTACGCTTCACGTTGTGCGTTTATATATGAATAATAAAGCGTTAGTAAATAATTTGGCCTATATAGTCTGAGGACATCGAAAGTTTGAAACCAAGGTACATTTTTAAAGTGTGATTAGCTGATCTCCTGATTATTCTTAAATTCAAAAGCTCTGCATGCTAAATTTTTTATCCTTTATTTTCTTTATATGTGTATTGAGCACTTTTTAAAACCAATGCTTCCTGGTCTAATTCAACTCTGACCAATAACTGTTTCATATTTTTATTACACACACACACACACACACATATATATATATATATATATATATTTGGGTGGGGGAACGAACTCAGGTGTAACTTAATTGAAGCTTTATTCAACTAAGAATGAGGTATGTCCTGCTGGACTTACTTAAATACAGAATACGTATGAGGAGAGACAATTCTTTCCACAACACACACACTATATATATATATATATATATATATATATATATATATATGTCATCCACAGACAGACTGTTTTGCTGTATCACAGCTCCTCAGTGTGGCTAGATTTTGATTGCTTCAAGCCGGGATTGAAACCCGACTAATTTGACATC